GCAATCCTCGCCAGTGAATCCATCATCACAGACACATTGTCCGTTAACACAGCGCCCCCTGTTGTTGCAGCTGTTGGGGCAGCTTTTAGCACTGCAGTCTGCACCAGTGAATCCATCATCACAGACACACTGTCCATTAACACAGCGCCCCCTGTTGTTGCAGCTGTTGGGGCAGGTGTTTTCAGAGCAGTCGTCACCTGTGAATCCACTGTCACATATGCATTTACCATTAACACACCTGCCACGGTCGTTGCAGTCATTTGGGCATGTTCTTTCAGAGCAATCCTCGCCAGTGAATCCATCATCACAAACACATTGTCCATTCACACAGCGCCCCCTGTTGTTGCAGTTTTCAGGACAGACTGCCTCAGAGCAATCTGCACCGGTGAAGCCACTGTTGCAGACACATTTACCGTTAACACACCTCCCACGGTCATTGCAGTTGTCTGGGCATGTCCTCTTTAAACAGTCTGGCCCAGCGAATCCAGGATTACACACACACTGCCCGTTAATGCAGCGCCCCCTCCTGTTGCAGTTGCTGGGGCAGGATTTGTTGAGGCAGCTGGGACCTGTGAAGCCACTGTTGCACACACACTTGCCGTTCACACACCTGCCTTGATTGTTGCAGTTATCGGGGCAGGATCTCAGGGAGCAGTCATGACCGGTGAAACCAGGATTGCACACGCACTGTCCGTTAACACAGACCCCTCTTTTTTTGCAGTTTCCGGGACAGGATTCATCGGAGCAGCTGGGACCTGTGAAACCACTGTTGCACACACATTTGCCTTTCTCGCACCTGCCGTGATTGTTGCAGTTATCAGGGCAGGCTTTCAGGGAGCAGTCAGGACCGGTGAAACCAGGATCGCACACGCATTGAACATTCACGCACTTCCCGTTGTTGCTGCAGTCCCCGGGACAGTTGGACTGGCTGCAGTCCGGCCCGCTGAATCCAGGAAAGCAGACACACTTGCCATCCTCGCAGCGACCCTGATCACTGCACTCACTGGGGCACTCCTTGGTCTCTGGTTTGATGGAGCATCCTGCACCTGATGGACAGGAAGAGGTCAAGAACAGGTTCCTGATCACCACGGCAACAAGCTAAATTCAGTTTAAACCATTTTGAACCAAGCTACAATATCTGTGACATCAGTTCAGAGATCCTAAAAGAAATCCTGACTTCTTTTTTGGAAACCTGAGTGTGTGTTATCTGGCTTCATGGACAGATAGAGCTGGGTGTCATCTGCATAGCAGTGTAAATGTATGCTATGTCTTCTAATGATACTGCCTAAGGGAAGCATGTATAATGTAAACAGAATTGGTCCTAGCACTGAACCCTGTGGAACTCCATAATTAACCTCAGTGTGTGAAGAGGACTCTCCATTTACATGCACAAACTGGAGTCTATTAGATAGATATGATACAAACCACTGCAGCACAGTACCTGTAATACCTACAGCATGTTCTAATCGCTCTAATAGGATATTATGGTCGACAGTATCGAATGCTGCGCTAAGGTCTAGCAGGACAAGCACAGAGATGAGTCCACTGTCAGAGGCCATAAGATCATTTGTAACCTTCACTAAAGCTGTTTCTGTGCTGTGATGAGCTCTGAAACCTGACTGAAACTCTTCAAATAAACCTCTGCAGATGATCTGTTAGCTGTTTGACAACTACTCTTTCAAGGATGTTTGATATGAAAGGAAGGTTGGAGATTGGCCTATAATTAGCTAAGACTGCTGGGTCTAGAGATTGCTTTTTGAGTAAAGGTTTAACTACAGCCAGCTTGAAGGCCTGTGGTACATAGCCGATCATTAGAGATAGGTTGATCATATTTAAGATTGAAGAATTAATTGGCGCTATGCAGATATCCTGCATCATAGTATTGACTAGGTCAAATGCATTCTTAGATATCCAAAACATAAGGCGGCCATCAGCATCACTTCAGTCATAAATGTGGTTTGTTGGAGGATGAATGAAGCGTCTTGAATGAGTTAGAACCAGATAGTTACCCTTTGTTGCACTGCCTCAGTCTTGGGGGTAGAGTGAAGGGGGGTGGACGTCTAATCCTCTCTAAATAGAGTGTAACACAGCCTTGTTGTGACTGATTATCCCCTGTGTGTGTGTGTGTGTGTGTGTGTGTGTGTGTGTGTGTTGTTGTGGTGCAGAGGGTGGACTGGGCGGAGGTGGGGGCTGAGATCACACTGGGCACAGAGCTGAAGACAGAGACGCACAAACAGTCCTCTCCCGTTTCCATCACTTCAGAAGACAAAACATTCACTTTTCTGAAGCCAAACTAAAAACAGGACATTAACTTTTTATCCAGTTTTGGGTAATGATTTTGGAGTAAATTACAGTCTTACTTTATTCCCCCTAACACAAATCAGACCCCCATATCCTCACAATCTATGGGTCCCCATGTTTCAGGTAATACAAGTACACACACACAGCTCACAGGTTAATCTCTGCCAGTTTGTAATGTGATCATCTCTGAAATTAATCCAATCACACACTCAAAGAAAAACACATATTCTATTAGTAGAATACAGCTTTAGTCTACTTTACTTTTTTTATTAGATTAACATAAAGCTATTAGAACACATAATAACAGATGGTGGTGAAATATTCAACAGGTCTGATGCACGTCTGAGAGAGCATGAAGGAGGGTGTAGGAAACAGCAGGTAGCTGCCCAGTAATGTTAAATAAAGTCAAAAAACTTTCATTTTCATTTCGCTTTGCTCTGTATTAGATGTTTCATATTTCATTCATTCACAGTGTTAACGTTTCCTCCAGGTGTAGATAACGCCTCCCACTGTGGGTCCCTGTAACCCTGTCAGAGACTGCTCAGCTGTCAGGTCAGCTTTCCACACATGAAGAGAAAGATTTCGATTTAAACGCCCACTCACATCCTGGGCCACCTGACCTCAGGACATCACATGATAGGGTGGGGCTGGGTTTCACAATGAGCTGACCTGAAGCGTGGCTGATCGTGACCTATGACCGATCCACACCTGGCTAATGTGATTAAGTAGAGAATAGTCCAGATGCTTTTCTTTCCAAGCTTCTTAGACCACGATGAGCTGGATGACTGAGAACCTTCACAGACGACACTTCCTGTGTTTTGTTACCAAACTGCAGAAAACCTGCACGCAGATAAATGTTTGTATACTTCTATGTGAAATGATGAGAAACCTTTTCAAGAAATCAACTTAAAAAACAAAGACAAAAACCTACAGAATAGAAACCACATGCTCAGCGAGCTAATCGTCAGCAGAGACATGTCTGTGGCCTCTCATTGGTCTGTTATCGCTCGAGGTCACGGTGCGAGGCAGATTCACACAGTAATGCAGTCGATGGATCCTGCGCTGCTGTTGACACTCTGGTTGTGTTTTAAATGCGAGTGAAAAGGAAGGTTTATGAACCAGAGTGTCATTGTGGAGCAAAGATTGAAAAGTGACGTCCTGGGAAACAGAGAGCGGCACCTCCGTCTCCTCGTGGCCCGTTCCTCTGGCGTGTCATTTTTGGCATCGGGTACACGTTTGGTGTTGTCGATGTTTGGACGCTGCTGTCACAGACTTTGCTGCAAAGCGATGCCCTCACAAAACAAGAATTCGGCAGTAAAAAAAACCTGGAGCGCACACAGGGACCGTTTCTTTAACAAATCCAATAGAGTCCAGTGTTTGTTAAACATATGTTGCTATGAACACACACTGTGCTGCAGACCAACAACATCTTGGGTCATTTTCACTGTAATTACGAGCTAAAGATCAGCCGCTGTAAGACCGACTGCTGCTCTGTATGCCGAGCGCCGCCGTGCTGCGCGGCGGGGAGGTTAGCGCCTGCTGATCCAGACTCGTATTAATCGCTGTTCTCTCGTGTTTCCTCCTCTCCTTGCGATGTTTTTCTGTTTGCGTCTCTTTGCTCAGCAGCCACAGAATCCTCCCAAACATCCCCAGTGTTTATTTTCATAAATAGGATTATTGCTGGTTGTGCCAGAGTTCGGTTTATATTTACTTTTTCATCCATGCGTGAGCTGATTGCTCCATTTGGTCTGGAGTTTCTGTTTGCTAACCTCACCAACATGCTTCAGGTGCTTTTAGAGTGGATCTTTGGCTGGTTGGGGTTCATACTGTGGAGCTGCTGCAGGACATCATCAGCTCCACACTGATGAAATCAACTGTGGGTGACTTTGGAGCCATGTGATGGAAAACCTCGGCTTTCCTAAAGCTCCCGAACTTATTTCTTCTCGAAGCTTCGAGGCCTTGAAAACATGACTCACGATCTGCTGCACGTCTTTCTGATAAAGTTTGAAAACATTTGATTTTTATTTCATTTATTACTTTTGGATTTTTGGCACTGAGGTGGAACAAACACGACCTCGACTTTGTGTCTGTTAAAGGTTTGTATGCAGGTCCTGCTCCTCCAGCTGTTTTAAGTCTTTTGAGTCCTCTGGTATGAAAAAACATCATTTTTTCCAGCCTGGTATAAAGAATTCGTTCATGCATGACGAATGATTTTGATCACTGTCTCAAATTTAGTTTGAATTTTTATTTTTTTGCACGTGAATGAAAAACTTTTCACGTTTCGTTTAGTGTTTAGACGTGACATGAAAATGTGGCTTTTCTATATGACAATGACAGAAATGCAGCCGGTCATTAAAGCTTCGGCATGTGATGAACTTTAAGAATATTTAAAATGAAGATGCTAAAATTATAAACGTCCATGAAGCATCAGATCGGCTCCTCACTGGCTTCAGGGATCTAAGAAGGGAAAAGTGCTGAGTGAGAGTTCATAAAGCTGTGAAAGCTTATCGTAGGGCTCCATCAGGTGACTTTTTCCACTCACGCCAAGCTCTTTATACAACATTCACCCATTAACCCTTTAGAGCCAGTCGGAGCGGCATGCTCTGTTTTGCATAACTATTTTTAAATCCCAGTAGCACTGCAACCACGTAAGCTAGCGCAATAATTTTTTTGCATATGAAACCGGAGGAGTTGTACTTACATCTTATGCCATCAGCTTGTCCTCGGTCACAGTTTCCTTCCACATATAGTTTTGCAAAAACTGCATAAAAAGCACTTGCAGCAACAAAAACATAATATTCCAGAAACACGCTTTGCCGATCCGATCAGCTGTTCATAACACTTCCTACCTTGGAATAGACGTCAGCGCGAACTATCGCATGTCCACCATGACCTGCCCGAAACCGGAAGTGGCGTCATTTTCGCGGAAATGTAGTTTTTTTTTTACCATCAGGGCCTCATGAGCCTATCCGGTCGTTCAGTCTGACGTCACTAGCCGTGTCTGGGTCTAAACTCCGCTGCAGCTCCATATATCAAACGATCACTATGGCATTACTGAGAGATGAAAAACTGTCTAAAGTCTTTCATCTTTAATAAAATGATCAGCGTTCTGCTCTACCAGGTGTAACAATTGAGTTTAACATCCAGGCATCCATGAAAACGGAATTTA